CTCTCATTGCTCTGTCTCATCCCTTGAGCAGCAGAATCTGATCTTCCCACGCTGCTTTGAGAGATACGGCTCTGTCCAGGGCTCAGGGCCGCCCGCTTGCTAAGGTCTGCTGTGCAAACATCATGGGGCATTTTGTGTGTATGTGTGTGCCTGGGGAAGTCAATATTTGTGCTAGCTATTTAGCCATGGTGTGCATCTTCGCTCAGGTTAAGATCCGGACCAGCCCTGAGTGCCAAGCGGAGGTGATGGTACGTGTTTACACTGCGGCTTCTGGGCCTGGGAATAGCCTTTCTCGCACGCCCTGACCTGGCCACTCTTGGCACCTGAGCATTGGGAATTCTTTGGCACACAGGATGCTGGGATCTGTCTTTGTAAAATAAGTTCAGAGGGAAAGGGGACAAGCTGGAGAGACATGCTCAAAAGGCAGCTCTGGCTTGCTGCACATTAGTGCCAGAGGTCACAGGTTCTGGACGAGCTGGCAATCTGCAGTCCTGCTAATGTCAGCTGCCCAACATTCTCAACACTGGCGAACACCAAGTTACCACTCTGCATCCATAGTCACATGACTAGGTGCTGGGCCATAGCAAAACTGCTTTTATAGCAGCAAAATATAAAGTTTTAAGCTGCACATAAATGTAAGATGTAGGTTAGGCTGCGCCTAAGAAACAGCAGACTATGGGACTAACCTGAAAGCTTTGCTTGGCAAATATCTCACCAATAGAGTTCTTGAGAAATATAAGAAAATGTTGGAGAATTTAACTCTCTAGCGTCTACTAAACACTGAAATGTCAGTTTTAGGTGGATTGGTCCTTTCAATTCTACGCCAAGTGAAATATATGTTTTAGATTAATTGAACTTGTAACTAACATTTTGTAGGTTGAATATTAAAATATCTATTTATCGTTTAGTCACTGTTGTCAAAACTTTTTGATGCTCCAATAGGCCTACCACAATCAAAATATTATGATGATTTTATGTAGCTGACTTATTCTATGGAGCTCTGTTAAGGTGGAATGTCTCCAAAACTATCATGTACCATTCTACATATCAGCAAAATACTGGGCAATGTTCTTCCTGTATATAAAACCATTAGCTTTGACTAAGGAGCTTACACTTTATTGTCTCAAACACTCAGATATCATAATAATCATTATTACTTATAACATATACACGGATCAACCATAACATTACGACCACCCGCCTAATATTGAGTAGGTCTCCCTTCTGCCCACAAAACAGCCATGACCCGTCAAGGCATGGACTCCGTGGTTTAAACCCTCGGAGGTTTGCTATGGCATCTGTTAACAAGCCCTCAGTAGCAGATCTTTTTAGTCCTATAAGATGTAAGGTGGAGTCTCCATGGATCGGACTTGTTTTTCCAGCATATCCCACAGGTGCTTGATTGGATTGAGATCTGGAGAATCGGGAGGCCAAGTCAACGCGTCAAACTCATTGTTGTGTTTCTCAAACCATTCAGTGCAGTGTAGCAGGGCACATTATCCTGCTGAAAGAGACCACTGCAATCAGGGAATACCATTTCTATGAAGGGGTGTACTTGGTCAGCAACAATGTTTAGGTAGGTGATACGTGCCAAAGTAACATCCACATGAATGGCAGGACCCGAAGTTTCCCAGCAGAACATTACCCAAAGTATCACACCACCTCCGACACCTTCCTTTTTCCCATAGTGCATCCTGGTGCCATCTCTTCCCAAGGTAAGCGACACACACTCACCCGGCCATCCACATGGTGATTCCTCAGACCAGGCCACCTTCTTCCATTAGTCCATGGTCCAATTCTGATGCCCATGTTCCCATTGTAGGCGCTTTTGGTGGTGGACATGGGTCAGCGTGGGCACCCTGACCAGTCTGCAGCTATGCAGCCCTATACGCAACAAACTGGTGCACTGTGTGTTCAGACACCTTTCTATTACTGAATCGCACTACATGGGCAAGCCTTTACTTGTCGCGTGCATCAGTAAGCATTAGCTGCCCATGATGCTGTCACTGGTTCGCCAGTTTTCCTTTCTTTGACCACTTTTGGTAGGTCCTGACCACTGTAGACGGAGAACATTCCACAAGAGCTGCAGTTTTCTTGTTGCTCTGACCCAATCGTCTGGCCATCACAATTTGACCCTTATCAAATCTTTACTCTTGCCCATTTTTTTTCTGCTTCCAACACATTAACCTCAGGGACACAATGTTCACTTGCTGCCTAATATATACCACCCACTTTCAGGTACCACTGTAACAAGATAATCAATGTATTCACTTCACCTCTTAGTGGTCATAAATCATGGCTGCATTATTATAACAACTTAGAGGGCTTGTTCACACCATGTCTGGACCAGATCTGGGTGCGTTTCTGCAAACATGGTGCAGTTGGGTTTTGACGTGTTAATGGTGCATTCCAGTGCTTTTAAAATTTAGTTTTAGCTTAAAATGGGCTTTCAGGTGCAGTGAAGTGCATTTGCATGCGTTTTGATACGTTTACCTGGATTTTGGAGCGTTCCACACCAGATAAAATTAATGCATGGAGTATTTTTTCCCCCAAACCAGAATGGACTGCATTGGTGTGAACAGAGCCCAGAAATACCATAGGAATACATTGGGGTGCATTTTAGGTGCAGAATTCTGGTCTGGACATGGTGTGAACAAGCCCAGGAAGGAGATTCAAGTCTTACAAATACCCATTCCATACTGGTTGCCCTTATTTTATATATTAATATGGCACTCGCTCTATGACACCAGGAGAAACACAGTTCTGGTACAGTGGCGTGAATGGCATGCAACTTACTTATCCTGAATAGAAAAGTCCTGCAGAATATCTGCTAAATCTCGAGGAAGCTTCTCTTTGGGTAATCCGAACTTCAGAGCCCAGCGTCCAGCTGTCTGCCTGTCACAATAGCGGAATAACAGAGCAATGCATTGCTCCTGGAGCCAGCCATTATCTGCAACTATGCTCTGCAAAATAAAAGGTAGTTTCTTGTCAAACATGAATACACTGCAGTTAAAGTAAAACTCCAGGAAACACTTCCCTATGTTTTGGGTGGAGTGGGGAGGGATTACAACACTATCAGGTTCAATAGAGAGTGGCTACATTTGTTCCCCATGGTCCCTCTGTGTGTAGTAAAGTAGCCACCACTGCTCCAAGGTTGCTCCCGTGATGGACTACAATCTCCATACAAATTAGTAAACTAAATGCGAGATTGTAGTCCATGACGGGAGTGAGCTAGGCATGGTGGATACTTTACAACACACAGGGACCACGGGGAACAAAAGTAGCCACCCTGCAGAAGGAAGGACAGTGTCAGCAGCAATTCAGAGATGATTTGAGGATCTACAGCCCAATGATACACAAATAAGATACATTTTTGTTAATAGTTAATAGACATGTGCACCAGCAAAAAATTTGTTTAGTTTAGTTTCATTTTGACTCGGATGTTAGTTATTTAGTTTTTCGGATTCGGGCATGCAATTGAATTCGTTGCGGGATTCGGACGAAATTCGTTAGCGGTAGTCTTTTTTCGGATTCGGGTCCGCAATTGAATTCGGGCGAAATTCGTTAGCGGTAGTCCGGTCGAAATTTCGTTTATTGGACGAAATTCGTTAGCAGCAAAGTGACAGAAAAAAAAATGTTTTTTTTTTTACAGTCTGCAGAAGATGGAAAAAAAAAAAGTGTGAGGTTCCCCCCCAATTCATACCAGACCCTTTAGGTCTGGTAGGAATGTTAGGAAGGACCCTCCCCCAAGTTAAAACAAAAAAAAAAGTGCGTGGGGTTCCCCCCAAATTCCCTACCAGACCCTTTAGGTCTGGTAGGAATTTTAAGGGGGAACCCCAGCCCCAAAAAATGGGGGGGGGAAAGTGGGGTTCCCCCTAACAGACCCTTGATCCGAGCACTGGCCCGGCAGGGCAGGAAAGGGGGGGCGATCGAGCGGACCCCCCTCCCTGCGCCTTACCAGGCCACGTGCTCTCGGCATTGGGAGGGTGTCCCCGTGCCGATGGGGACAAGGGCCTCTTCCTCACAACCCTGACCTGGTGGTTGTGGGGGTCTGTGGGAAAGGGGGCTTATTTGCATTGGGGTACCCCTTTAAATAAGGGGGCACGCAGATGCCGCCCTCCCCCCTTGTGAATGAGTAAGGGGTACTTGCACCCCTACCCATTCACTAATGGGTTACATCAAATAGTAAAAAGTCCAGACTTTTAGATAAAATCCTTTAATTGAAAAAAAAACCCCAAAAAGACTCAATTTTTTACTATTCCTTTAATTTAAAAAAAAAAAATGGCTCCATCGATGTAATCCAGCGTCAATCATGATGCACGACCCCCGCCGAAATAAAAAAAGGCCCGCCACAAAATGACATTCAGCCCGAATGTCAACAGATGGGCAGAACGAGACGTGGCGTCACGGCTTGCTCCACCCATTTGACACTCTCAGCTGTCAAATGATACATAGCAATGCTAACGAATTTCGTCCAATAAACGAAATTGACCGGACTACCGTGAACGAATTTCGGGAAATCGGGAATTCGGATTCGTTATAGCTGTAATTCATAATTCGGATGCATCCGAATTTCGATTCGTTTGTATTCGTTTTAGTTGTAATTCGGAATTCGGATGCATCCAAATCTCAGAATTTCCGAAAATTCGTCCGCACATGTCTAATAGTTAATGTACTTTAATACATTTTTCAGATTAAACTCCTGAGTTTAGTGTCACTTTAAAATAAAATAATATTGATATAACAGCTAAAGTCTGAATATGATTAGCAGCTTTGGGGTAATACAGACGATATTCACTGGAGACGCAATGATGAACAAGCCTATTTCCCACTAATTTAACAGCTGTCAGGCTTTCTGACATGTCTGTTCCCTCTAAAGCTGATGGACCACTGTCCGGGAATGCCTGAACTAAAGGCCCTGTGTCAGATGTTAGAACAAAACAGACACAACCCCAATGACCTCTGTGCGTTCTCACAGCCTGACACTGATAAGATGTTTACCTCACAGATGGGGGGTGAAAGAATTACCTGGACATGATCACTCCAGTTCTCCTCGGTCATTGTTTTCTGGAAAGTAAAATTGGAAATTCTTAGAAACCATGTTTGTGTTAGTAAGCCATAAGGTTGTACATTCAATATTGGAATATTGTAAAAAGCAAATAGTGATCCATAGAGATCACAGGCTCTGGTAAGGATCTTAAAACAAGACCACCATTGCTTTGGCCGTCTTACTGCCATTTAATTTTCTGAATCTTCAGAAGACAGCCTTGTTGGGTACCATTGAAATCACCAGAGCAAATGAAGCAAGTGGCAACATTCTGACAACTTATTATATAGAATGGAGCTGATCTGCAGGTCCACGTATCCAACAACACTGTATCAATGGGAAAATCCAAAAAAAGTAGTATTTTTGTTAAAGATAGGTCTTGAGGGCTGTGGAAGTCCATGGCTTCCAACATGTCTTAGATGCTCCAACAGCAATATCTCACCACCATAATTCTTGGCTCTGTCCCTGTCCACCTGGGTGTGTGTTTCAGCTCTCCAACAAGGAGAGTGGGAACCCCTCATACACAGAAGTGTGCAGACAGCACAAAGATCTCAATAGATCCCACAACAAGTGAAAGGAAAGGTGCTTTAATTCTTAAGTGAACTGGACTTTTTCTATTTGATTACCTTACCTGGTAAAATTACAACTTTCACTTAAGTTGTTTCACCAGTCAAAGCTTTTTTTTTTTTTGTTTCTAGCTTTGTATAACACCAAATAAGATCTTGTTTTTTAGGTTTTTATTGGTGTATGTGTGTCCATTTAGGAGATTTGCCCTCACTGTCTAACCCCAGACACAAAACAGTAATTAGAAATCTCCCCAAAATTAGGCAAACTTCATCTTTGACAGATGTCACTGAATCAGATATGCCCATTGGAAACATTTCCCCTAATAGTGACAATGGTCACCAGGATGTATAGAGAGGTTGGGTCTCTTTAAAAGTGATATTGGACCCTCATTTCCACAGGAGAGCCATTTGTACTTTTGTAGCTTTTTTTTTTTTCATACTTCCCATTTTATTAAATTTTTCAAGGGTGTATTGCGGCCCCCTCCCCTCCTGTTTACAGGTGTCTCCTTTGCCTAGCAGGTTGCAAAGGAAACACCCGTGCTGTGTGCATCCATTGACGCACACAGCACTCAATAAGCCATGCCCCATTTCTCTGCCTCCTCCTTCCTCTCAGTACCTTGACAGGCAGGTGTAGCAGCCTATTGCTGCTCTGCCGTCAGTGTCCTCGGGATCCCTTCTCTCAACCCGTAACTTCAAGGACATATCAGATATCGTCTCAGAGCTGGTGGCGGTGGACATGGAGTATAGGTAAGTGTTTGCGAGTGGGGGGCAAGGAAAGGTAGTGGGAAATTTTTTAGCATAATGCAGAGAATGCATTAACCACTTGCTGACCAGGTGTTTAGACCCCCTTCCTGTCCAGGCCATTTTTCAGTGTTCAGCGCTGCGGTACTTTGACTGACGTTTATTCCGTCATGCAACGCTGTACTGAAATGAATTTTATACAATTTTTTGGGGACAGATAGAGCTTTCTTTTGGTGGTATTTAATCACCACTATGGGTTTTATTTTTTACTATAATTAGGAAAAATTACTGAAAATGTTGAAAAAAAAAGTTTGTTTTTTTACATTATGTTAGGAAACTATTATTATTACCCAATTTTTTGGTAAAATATAAAAGTCGGGGTCACATCGGGTAAATAGACACCAAACATGTCAAGCTTAAAAATTGCGCGTACCCGCAAAAAACTACCATACCCAAAATTGACCGTGGGCATAGGCAACGCTTTAAAAGCTTTTACTGCTCATCAGTTTAGTGTTATCAGTGATTAATGGCCCTACAATTATTGCTCTCACTGCGACGTTCTCGGCGATATGTAACATGTGCGGCTGAATGGGCGCAATCGTCGTTTTCGCAGGTATGCGCACCTGACGCGTGTATGTATGGGTGGGGACTTAAAAAAAGAATTTAAAAAAACAAAAACATTTTTTAATGTGTAGCTTTAAAAAAAATTTGTGGAAACTTTAATTATTTTTTTTCCACTTAACTTTATTGCTATCACAGAGGGGGCTAAAAAACCACCCTATGTGATAGCAAAAGATGCGACAGGTCCTCTTTATGGAGACATCAGGGGTCTCCAAGACCCCTAATGTCACCTAGGACCCCCCTAAAGAAGCCGATGAAGCAGAGATCTGCTTCATCAGCTTCTCTCCAGCGTCTGAAGCTGGAGAGTGACACGAGAATGCGGAAGTGATGTAACATACATCACTTCGGCATTCTGACACTGGAGAGGGGACCGGAGGGAGATCGTGTACCGACCTCCCTCTGATCCCTTCTCAGAGAGGCACTATGCTGGTCCCGGGCTCACACCGGGCACAGCGGAGCCCGGGACCAGCATGACAGTGGGAGGGGGGGGGCCACAGAGGGAGGGGGGGGACACGGGCCGGCAGCTTATACAAGCGATCCGAGTGGGCGGGGCTAACAGGCCGTATATACACACGGCCTGTTACATCCAGGAAGCTCCCGGCCGGCTGTTTTTAGGCTGAATAGCCTTTAGTACTACTTTAAGGGAGACACAAAAAGCAATAAAAACCCTGTATCACTCCACTGCAAACTGCCCCAAAAAAAAGGTTATTGCTGAAGTTTAACTTTAAGGATTCCAAAGTAATTCACAAATCATAAATCCATGAATGGCTGAAACCTACCTCCACAAATCTCTTATGCATGAGGTATTTAAGGGTGCCCATATGACGCTGGTTTATTATATTCGAACAGATAGCTGAAAAAAAAAAAGTCTGTTTAGCTTCCATCAAAGAAAAGGACATAAACATACTGTGCAAACAAAAAAAGAATTGAAAAGGGCTTTCTAAAGCACTCACATGGGTTCTTATTGTAGCGTTTACCCATAAGTAATTCTTTACTTTTAAATGATTTCTGGTTTAGGATTAAATATCACAGATATGTAAGCTTTGCATCTAGAGGCTGTATGTCTGACAGTGCAGCCAGCTTCTTTGCTAAACAACTGCTCCCATAATCCACCTAGGATACCTATTATTTTCAGTAAAATGTTGGGTCAAGAGAGCTCAGTGCACTGACAGAAGAGCAGTAAAGGAGAGATAACGGTGCTGTATTACAAAGGAAGTATTGCACGCATGTGAAATGAGACAATATGGCTTCCTTCACATCCATATGTAAATAAATGCAAGCCTCACCCCAAATATTTGGGGCAGTGGATCAAATCACCTACTTGCCCCTTCTACAAGACTATAAAGCTTTACCTTCTTCCAGCAGAAATCCCCACATCAAAGTAAACCTGTCACAAACCTTGCCAATTCTAATTCATGTGATGAACAATATTTAATCAGAGGTTACCTTGAATTAAAACCGCACGTGAAAGCGATCAGTTAATACAGAAATATAGTAAGCTGATGTTACGTACCAATCCTGATTTTTACAGAAACAGTTGAAATCTACCTTGTCCCACCAGACTCCTTATTAACCTTGACTTGTGATGCCTCAATGACCAATAAGGACGCAGGAGGGGGGTGAGATCAAGCTCGACTTTCACTGGAAAAGTGGATATATAATTCAGCTGTCCATATCTCCAGTTCCAATGAACATTTCAACATGCAATTTACGATTAAAAACCCACTGGATTTCTCACATTTCTACTGAAGTTCCCTCTGCCAAGTGGGCTGACATATAAAACAGACTTGGGTCCTATCTCGGACGATATTTGGGAGGAGGTACTGTATTAGTATTTCTTTCCCCCTTGCCTGAACTGACTCACAGGATAGGATTTTGATCTGACTCCCATTTTGGGAGATGTCGTCAGCCCCAGGATAACCTTAAACATCACTTGTGGCGCTGTCCCAAGTTGAAAAGGTACTGGGAAGGGGTTGTATCTACCCTGAATGATCTATATGGTATTGATCCAGCAGCAGTGACTGCAGTACAATTGATATCCATGAACCCACCCACGGTGCAGGAATGGAGAGCTGAGCTTAGTAAATCCATTTCCTTTGAAAAACACAATGTGTAAATTTAAATCCATGTGGTCCTGATGGTTGGAAGTGACGTGTCCCTTTTCTACCATAATGTTTGGAAAGTGTACAATGATTTTGACTAGCTGTATACATTTTTTCACATTATTTAGTGCCATCCAACAAAGCGAAGATCAGTAGAAGTGTAAGATACTGTATTTTGCCAGGTTTCTAACCTGTCCTGCATGACAGAGTGTGTGTGTGTTTTGCTTGGAAAATTAAAATAAAATCTGATAAAAAAAAGGTAGACCCTTTTTTTGGTTGTTCTACATTTTGGTGGGTGGGACGATTAATGTCCTGAGACACAATGGTCATTGTTTGTGTCCATATTAACATTTTGAGAATTTCCACTTTGTTTAAACTGTTTAAGCATTATTTAGCTTGTGCGTGCGCTGTAAACTTAAATAATTTGTTACCAAAAAAAAAACATGATCAGAGGTTGCTTTAAAAAAGATAGTCAGTTTGCCTATACAGACCTAGTGTCTATATGACCAATGTGACTCTACATGCAGGCGCAGGTGTATTCGGCAGGCAGAGCAGTGCTGTTTATACAAGTAACATCATGAGTACGAGGTGACATCATGAGTATGAGGAGTTCACAGGGAAACATGGACAAGTTACCAGCATGTCAGAAGTCACAGATGTGTGAAGGGTTTATGGCATGCATGGTGGTAGTTACACAAGTTACAAATATGGGAAAGTATAGCTATGTAATATTTCTGTTAATGTTTATGAATTTGTGATGTGAAGCATGCGATGAACAGAATAATATACACAAAGGAATTTATCACCTGTCAGATAGTAACAGAAATGCTGCATTACCACTTATTCCCCATGTGCAGTGAAAACTTGCATCAGTTTTGGACATAATACCACATGTGTGGTTGAGTTAGGCATTACAGTTGAACAATACCAGAGAATAAAAAAAACTTTACCCGTGCAGTGGGCCCCCCTTCACACTGTAAGGGTTAACTGCCCATTATCCCTGGGGGATGAGGGATGGGATGAATAAGTCAGTCGGTGCTCTGCACCACTGTCTGACATCCTGGGTTATGGGCGGGCCCTCAGCGACATCATGTACAATGCAGGACCACTGGTTCTTCATTGTATGGGATGATATCAGAGAGCTGCAACTGGTCAGGTAATGAAGAGAAGAGGCTTGGGAACGCTAGTCTTTCAGTGTGGAGGAAGTCTGCAGGGGAACTATTAGATAAGTATATCACCTTAATCATCATCCACTAGGGAAAACGAGCAGTTAACCTTTGCAGTGCAGATGGGGACCTACCGTGCAGATAAAATAGGAATGCTGTAGTCACCGTAAAAAATACAGAGTGTGACAGAGCTGTGCCTTTTCATTGTGTAATAAGATGAAAAGGGCACCCAGGACTCTCAGCCAGAGGGGCTGAGGGGTTTCAGGAGTCAAGTATTTATGCAGGAAAAGAACTGTCTTTGCAATTCTTTACAATTTTTTTGGATTCTGCACGGGATCCTGGAACCTGGAGATTTGTAAAGACTTGAGAGGGATGCAATCTCCATTCCTGGGTCCATAATGACCTGCACTATGGTAAGTGTAATGGGCTCCACCTGGGAGTCACGCGTGCAGCCAGGTGGCGTGTGTGCTGGAGGCACACGGGAGGCAGACAAGGAGGCTGTGAGCCAGTGACACACGAGGGATATGGTAAGAGTCACACGAGAGGTGTGGAATGCCGCTGAGAGCTGCTAAAACTGTACAAAGCACTGCTGTGGACTGCAGCTCTGTGGGGAAGTACCCCAACAGTCCTGAGACTGGGACACTGTGATTGTGTGTGACAACCTGGAGTTGGTGAGACACTGTAAAAAGTTATTTGGCTGAAAGACAAGCAGACTTTATGTTTTGTACACTGGTTGTCAGCCTTTGAGAAATAAAAGACTGTCCTTTTTTGATGTCAATCAGATTTGAGAGTGGTCACTAAGTGCTCACCATATGTGCTAAACAAGAAATCTTAAACCTTCAGGGTTACCCTGCCGCCTAAAAGGACGATTGGACACTGACAAAGAACAAATTAGCCTAGGATAACCCCCGCTTCCTATCAGCATTCCTCGGTTTTGTACCAAAGCTGCACCAAGAGCATAAACACAGGGTGGCGGGAGCTGTGCTCCCATTGAGTCTTCAGAGACAGGACGAGCGTTGAGGCAATGCCAGTGGCTCTGGTCCTGGAAAGCCTTCTGCAGCTAACTTTGACCAGAATGGAGTCTGAAAATCTCCCTATGTCACTTGCAGACTATCCCCACAATGTGCAACCCAGCAGGCTTGTATGTGGTACTCCAAAAGCCAAGCTGAGGATCCCACTGGAAAGCTGCATTGAAAGAGACAAAGCAGCCATGTAGAGAAGATGTAGCAAAAAGGAGGAGGTTGGTCTTTGACACGGTAGAGCTGCAGAAAAGATTTTTATCCTCCTAGGACACCATCAAAAACTGGGGCATGCTGGTAGTAGGAGGTTATCCTGGGCTGGCCTACAGTTTTTTAGTTTGCCAGTGTCCAAGGCTCCTGTAGCCGGACAATAAACCGAAGGTTTACTATTTTGTGTCCCTAAATTGACACATTAAAGGATAACTATGAGATGAGTGATTTCCACTCACCTCATAGTTCTAGCCGACCTGTGACAATGAGACTGTCACAGGTCGGCTCAGTAGATCGGGAGGTGAGACAGAAGTTCAGCTTTAATTATGTTAATTTAAAGGTGGCAAGACCAGGCGACAGAGTGGCAGACATATGCTTTATATCTTGGCATAAACTATGTTCAACGTTTTGCTACAACGATAAGGAGCTGAAATAACTTTACAGGAGAAAATGATGCTTCAGCCTCTCTTCAGCGCTTGTTACACAAACACAAACCTTGGTTGTTGATCACATGATTGCTGCTGGAGTCAAGGATTAGCCAGAGTGGCTTAGGCAGAGCTCTTGTGACCAGGTTTTCGATTATGGACATGCCAGAAGACACAAATACCCAGAATATTTTTATGCGAGATAAAACAAGGATGTGCCACTCTGATTGGCTTCTTTTGGTTGCTTTGTTTTGCATACTGCTTTTTGCCTTCTCAAAGATGAAAGTGCGCTAATGTACGTTAAAAAAATGGAGCGATTCAATAATGGCCACTGCCACCTCATTCAGGACACACACTTACCTGGCTCCAGCTTGTAGAGGTCAAGCAGCCGGAATGCCAACTTAGTGATAGTCTTTGGGTTAAGTTTGTCTGTTTTCACAAGTGGAAGACCCTTGTATTCTCTGCAGGGTGATTATGAAAGATTACCTTATGAAATATGAATGTCAAGCATATTCATCAACAGATCATTGAGGACAGAATGCATTCCTTCAAAAGCCACAAAATGATTTTTAAGTCTAGTGTAATTATCTAAACTGTTTCTTAATAGTGAGTTGATACACACCAGGTGAAAGCTTAAATCAGACTTTCGGTTGTTTAGCATGCTCTGTAAAGCTGAGGGTGTTGCAACATTCAGATCTTAGCGCTGCATGTTTTAGGCACAGATAGGCTCCTGACAGAACATGAGGTAAGTATGTAGAACATGTGTTAACTGGTGTTAGGTTTAGGAGTTCAGTGTTTCCTTGATCGTACAGGACATAGGCTGATTTAGGACTGGGAACCTGTACTGTACCCCAAGAAAAGGAGTTTACAGGTAAGTAAAAAATCCTATAATAAATGTTTAGAATTAGGGCCACAGGAAATACCCTCAGTGTTAAAGGAGAACTATGAGGTGAGTGATTTTCACTGAACCTCATAGTTCGAGCCGACGTGCGACAATTAAACTGTCACACGTCGGCTCAATACATCGGGAAGTGAGCGAACACATACCGTCGCTCGCTCACTTTTCAATCCTGTCCCTGCAGAGAGCCATGACTGTCACTCACGGCTCCCTGCAGGGATTCTCCCCCTCCCCTGTCCGAACCTCCAGCGCTGAATGGCGGAACGGACGGGGAAGGGGCAGGTGCAGCTGGCTCTGCCACTAGATAGGCAGAGCCAGCTGTCAATCACGCAGCTGGGTGGATCTCGACAGTAATGTCGGGATCCGTCCCGGCTGTGGCGGTCTCAGTATACCGCTAGTTTTAACTTGCGATATACTGAGCTTTGGGTCGGGGGAGGATGCTAGTTTGTGTCCTCCCGTGACCCTTCAGAGAACTATGGGGAAAAATACTTACCCAATGGTTCACGTTTAAGGACCTTGAAGGGCTGGCGGGTGTTGACGCTAAGGGGTTGATCTTAAAAAAAAATCATAACTAAGGCTCCAATTGGGGTCTTAGTCATTCTAACAGCTTACAAAACACTCGCTGTGTATTTATATTAGTGGGCTGGCAGGTTGCCAAGCTCTGTTGTAATAGTAAGTAATAGGAGAAGAGCTAAGATTTCTGTACTTCTGTTGTGAAACCTGAAGAATTTCTCCACAATGCCTATAGCTACAGAGGTAAATTAGCTTTTTTTATATTGTGTTACTGCATTTTTACAATGTCTAAATACCTTACTGTGCTTAGTGTAGAAACAGGTTCACTTTAAAGGCCTTTTTAAGGGGTTACGTGAAAAAGTGTGTTAAAGTCAATATCCACATTTGCAGCCAAATTGGTAGAACACCTTCTTTATATTGTTACATACTCCAATTCATATGCCATACTAAAATAGTTTAACTTGTTGCATGCCTTTTAATTAGTTTTTTCTAAAAATAAAACTCCAAAACTGAAGCTTTCCTGTTCTATGTAATGTTAAGGAGGGGGCTGGGGAGTTGTGTTTACCATAACGAACCCCGTCTGTACTGTGCTGACAGATCTTTATTATCAATTGTAAACTAGCAGGGTTATTCACAAAGCTGCCAAAGGCAGCCGATTGAATAACCAAGCCGAAGTGAACAGAGCCGAACGAGGTTCGACTATTCACTTCGGCTCAGTACGGCTGATTTCAGCAGTACATTGGCTCTGTACGGCTGCCTACGGTCAGCCGAACATGACAAAGTGCAGAGGCACTTCGACTGACCCGATCCAACATCTGGATCATCTGAGCCGAAGCTCCGGCAGCTCACCCGCTGCCGTTCGCCACCTATTCTCATACGGGCGAAATGTCAGTGAGTGAATAGTCATGTGGCTTGGCTATTCTGCTCGGTACCTCCGTGGTACAGAGCCGAATAGCAAATAAAAAAAAACAAAAAAAAAACAATTGGGCGGAGCTAGCAGTGGGAGCTAGCTCCGCCCAACTGTTTCCTATCGGCCAGCACCTGCTAGAGTCTTCTAGCAGGTGCCGGCCAATGAATAACAATAACTTGTTATTGTTTAATGACAGATCAACGTCCCCAGGATATTTGGGGACACTAATCTGTCATTACAACTGGGCGGAGCGAGCCGTGAGATCACGGTTGGCTCCGCCCAGCTGTCATTTGCAAAGCATACCCCCTCGGCTCGGCTGAGCCGCTGTACGGGCTATTGTGAATAGCCCGTACAGCAGCCCTTCGGTTCGACTGAACCGAAGGGCTCCGCCGGCCGAAGGATCAGCCGAAGCTACGGCTGTATCCTTCGGCTCAATAGTGAATAACCCCCCAGTGCATGCTGTCTGCCCTAACAAAGGGTTAAACATCTCAAGGCTTTGGTGATGCATTCTATGTGAATGCACTTTTAAACCAATCTGTCCACAAATCTGTCCCTAAGGTTATTCTGAACAACACAAGGTGTCTGTAGAGTCCTATGTTTAATCCTGCTTCTATAAAACGAAGAAGGGTAAGAAATATCCTTTTAGATTATTTTCAGGTATGCTGTGTGAATAGGAACACAGAACAAACTAGAAGTTGGGGCTTCTCAAATTTGGTTGCAAACTTAAAGGTAGAAGAGAGATAATGCTTGACCACGCAAAGGTACGATATTCACACAAAACTATCTCGACTTTGAAAGCCTTGTGTCGGAAGTAGGGGGAGTGAAGGGGGCATTGGCATGGGGTCTACTGACTACAGATCTAAAACAATATAGTGCATACCTGCTGAGTTTCCTGGGGTTAAATCTGGATAAACTCCATCGATCCAACATCTGGAGCAATTTAGTCTGCAGCTCTGGGTACCCGGCCACATATGCCTCCACTAGATTAAACCTCTCCATTAGCAGCAAGGGGGTACACATCTGTAGAGGGAAGAGACCAGCGACTATTACAGGGCACAGCCCAACTATACATTAAACAATGGGATACATAAAAATGTTTCCTTATTGAGGAGATTGCCCCTCACTTCCTGTCTTGGTGACATGGCAGGAAGAGAAAGGTGCTCTCTCTAATCCCTATTCCAGTGGTGGCGAACCTATGGCACGCGTACCAGGGAGGGCACGCGAGGCCCTTTCTGCTGGCACGTGAGCCAAGGTTCAGGCACCACAACATTAAGGCAGCCGAGCTATCTAATGTCGGCAGGCGGGCGAGCAAGAGGAGAAGGGGGACGGAGCGGCAGGGGGTGGAGACAGAGGGAGATGGGGTGGAGATGAGAGGACGGGAGGAGACGGGGACTGAGCTGCATGAGACAGGGGGCGGAGACAGAGTGAGATCAAGGCTGAGATGAGAGGACGTGAAGAGACGGGGACGGAGCGGCATGAGACAGGGGGCGGAGACAGGGCGAGATGAGGCAAGACTGAGGCAAAGGCAGGGACCGCGATGGAGGAGGCGTCGCCAAGGGGCCAGTCAAGCGGCGAAGCTGAGACGATTGGGCGCCGAGGCAGCAGTGAAGGCTGGGCTTCCCGTGTAAGGTAGGAGCACTGTGCTGGCAGGGATCGAGCGCCCAAACTGCAATACTAAACTGCAGTTTGGGCACTCGGGTTCAAAAAGGTGCACCATCACTGCCCTATTCTTTACTTGTGTTCCACTTTAATATGTGTTTTGATCATGTGCTCGGCTGTTTCTGTTTATACTGTTTATAGGAAAAAAAAGTCAGTGTTTGTAAGACTATTTCAGGAAAAAGTTAACAACCAGGAAATTATTCATCGCTTCTCTATTCAATTTCATATGAAAACATGGGTTGATATACATCTGTGCACATTTTTGCGCACTTAGTGTACTTGATGGGAAACATCTGCGCAAACGAGCCTGTGGAAAACAAACAACGATGGTATCACTATATATGTCAATATATAAAGGATAAGTGAAGAAGATCGTGGTGGGGGGGCCGGGGTTCTGGAGATGAATAAGAGGATAGGTAGGTGACTCTTACATTCCTTCAAGTTAAAGGTCTGTCCGTCTCTGCCAGGTTACGGCAGATCATGGACATCTGGCCACAGATGAACATGCAGTACGACCCATCTGCCAAAATATAACGCTTGTACAAAAACTTTCCATAAGGGAAGTGAGAGGACATCCCCAGCATTGGTTATAAGTCTAGAAAAACTAAAACAACAAAGATTCTATCACAGAGACTGTCGGGGCCGAAATTTGTGCAGGCGTAATACAGTACCCTCAGACCTGCGATCATTTCCCACATCAACCATAGCCAGACAGATTAGGCAACATCCCCTATATCTATGGTCATCTAAAAGCCCAACCACAGCCACATTTTATGTTCTGGTTTTGAACAGAGTAGGAAAATGTTAGAATCTGTTTGGGTTTTTTTCCGCCCCTTTGGGAAGACATACATACTACTTGTCCTGGTGACATGGTGTGACAGAAACAGGAAGAGATGGAAAATCTCTGCAATGGGGAAAGAGCAACATAAACACTTTTATTTAGTAGCTGCCTGTGACATCCTGTCCCAGTAACACCCATACTCCCCAATCCTTGTCCTGGGGTCAGAGAGATTAAAGCTGAACTCCAGGTATTAATATTTATATATGCTTATATTAAACCAGCTTGGCCCAAGGTAAGTATATGCAGTCATGGCCAAAAATATTGGCACCCCTGCATTTCTGTCAGATAATGCACCACTTCGCACAGAAAATTGTTGCAATTACAAATGTTTAGGCATTGTCTTGTTTATTTCTTTTGCTTGTATTGGTATGACACAAAAAAGTGGAGAAGAAACGCCAAATCTGACACATTCCACCAAAACTCCAAAAATGGACTGGACAAAATTATTGGCACGCTCAATTAATATTTGGTAGCATATAACTGAAATCCATCGCTTCCTGTAACCATCAATGAGTTTCTTATACCTCTCTACAGGAATTTGGAGCACTCTTCTTTTGCCAACTGCTTCAGGTCTCTCAGATTGGAAGGATTCCTTTTCCCAACTGCTGTTTTGAGATCTCTCCACAGGAGCTCTATGGAATTCAGATCTGGACTCATTGCTGGCCAGTCCAGTTTTCTCCAGCGCTTTGTCTGAAACCATTTCTGGGTGCTTTTTGACCTATGCTTTGGATCATTGTCCTGCTGTAAGACCCATGACCTCCGACGGAGACCCAACTTTCTGACACTGGGTCCTTCATTGCACCTGAGGAATTGTTTGGTAGTCTTCAGATTTCATAATGCCATGCACACAGGCAAGACATCCAGTGCTTGAAGCAGCACAGCAACTCCAAAACATCCGTGAACCTCCACCATGTTTGATGTAGGGACTGTATTTTTTCTTTAAAGGCCTCATTCATTTTTCTGAAAACAGTAGAATGATGGGCTGCACCAAAAAGCTGTCATTTTATTTCCTCTGTCCACAGCACATTCTCCCAAAAGGATTTCAGCTTCCTCAGGTAAGTTGGCAAACCCCAATCTTAGCAGTGTGTGTTAGCAGTGGGGTCCTCCTGGGTCTCCTAACATAGCATCTCTTTTCATTCAAATGGCAACATATAGTGCAAACTGACACAGTTGTACCCTGTGCCTGAAGGTCAGCTAGAATAAGTCTGGAAGTTGATGGAGGGTCTTTATCCACCATTCAAACAATCCTTCATTGCAATCTTTGATCAATTGTTCTCTTTCGTCCACATCCAGGGAGATTAGCTACAGTGCCATGGTCTGTAAAATTCTTGACAATGTTGTGCACAGTGGACACAGGAACATTAAGATCTCTGGAGATGGACTTGTAAGCTTGAGACTGTCCATGCTTTTCCATAAAAACTTGGAATGCAATTATTTCCTGTATTTTGGAGAAGGTGCCAATCATTATGTCCAGTCCATTTTTGGAGTTATGTGTGGAATGTGTCAGATTTGGCTTTTTTTTCTCCACTTTTTGTGTCATACCAATACAAACTTAAGAAATAAACATGTGAATGCCTAAACATTTGTAATTGCAACAATTTTCTGTGAGAAGCGGTGCATTATGTGACAGAAATGCAGGGGTGCCAATATATTTGGCCATGACTGTATACTGTAGGTCAGCGGGGGGAAAAAAAGTGTGTGCAATATAGTGAAATGGAAAGTGTAAAATTATACAGCAATGAATGCAGAATGGCACCAGCTATAGAAGACTACAAAACCCAGCAATAGTTCATTATACAGCGCAATGCAGAATACCACCAGCTATAGAGGAGTACAACAAATCCCAGCAATAGTACATTATAGCTAGCGGTATTCTGCATTGCGCTGTATAATGTACTATTGATGGGTTTTGTAGTCCTCTATAGCTGGTGGTATTCTGCATTGTGCTGTATAATGTACAATTACTGGGTTTTGTAGTCCTCTATGGCTGGTGGTATTCGGCATTGCGCTGTATAATGTATTATTGCTGGGATTTGTTGTACTCCTCTATAGCTGGCGGTATTCTACATTGCGCTATATAATGTATTATTGCTGGGATTTGTAGTCCTATATACAGCGCAATGCAGAATACCACCAGCTATATAGGAATACAACACATCCTAGCAATACATTATACATACATTGTATAATGTATTGCTGGGATATGTATTCCCATGTACAATATACAGCACAATGTACCATCAGCTATAGAGGAATACAAATCCCAGCAATATATTATAGAGCACCATGTGTGGGAAAGTGCAGGCTTACCTGAGCAGTCTTACAGCAACTTGTTTCTGAGATGGGGCCTGTCTATCGGCGGCTGCCATCCCCCCACACCTGCTACTTCTTACTTCTTCTCCCCGCGTCCCTGTGCCGATCGTGAGGCGGGGAGGAGGTGCGGTGTGTGGAGCGTGGATGCGGGTGGGTGGGTCTGGCTGCGGCGAGCACGAGGTGGGGAGGAGGTGCAGCGTGTGTGGAGCCGTGAACAGGGCCAACTAATCGGAAGTCGATTAATCGATGATTGAAAACGTTGACAACTTTTTCAATAATCTGTTATAATCAATTTAGTCGATTAGTTGTTGCAGCCCTACTAGGCGTTTTCTGATTGGTCGAGTAATGATCTCTGATTGGACAAGGGGAACTTACATTGTGGCAAGTTGGACCAATATAAGTATATATAAATATATATACCTGGAACTTATAACTGGAGCTTTAAATGATAGAAGAACACTCCCCAATATGTTCCCAGACAGCAGCCAAAACCTAACCATTCCCCAATCTTTTCAAAACAAGAACAAACGTCTTGGCTGTAATTGGAATTTAAGTCATGCAATTACAGTCCCAAATATTACACAGGTCCTAACAAGAACCGCCTTTATCCACACACTTGTTCCAGGTCCAGATCTAGCTGCAGGTTCAGTTTGGTACCTAGAATGGCTGCCTGCAAAGAAAGTGAAAATTATTTTATATTTGTAACAATAACATTTTTTTTCTACTGCAAACATTCTATATAGCAAAGAAAACTATTTACATCAAGCGTCTAGTCTAATGTCTTACTCTGCCCGATTGCTAGCCCATTTGCCACTTAAACTGAGACCGACCATGTTTAGGGCTAATTTTATTATAGTTTTTTTTATTCGTTCATAGATTTATATCGTTTATATATATATATATATTACACACACACATACATACGTTATTTTTTTTTTCTTCTTTACTATACATATACCAGGAGTAAGCTGTGGTGCAACTACAGATCCCATCAGGCATTGCAAGACTGACAGCCACAGGCATGACTCCCAGAGGCAGAATGGGATTTCAGCACAGCAGGTGGACCAGAGCTTGACTACCACTGACATACGCAATCTTGGTTTTACAAATAACTACAGGGTGCAGCACAACAAACGATTTCCAGTGTATTAGGAGTTTCCTAAAACCTCCATCTCACACGTTTCATCAAAAATATTGATTTTTTTAAACTTTTTTTAAAGTAAATTTTTTTTATTGAAACGTATCAGATGAAAGTCTATTTATCCAGATTGGAGTTAATAGAGCGATATTTCATAGTGTGTTGAGCACTTGGTCCATGTGCATGTGATTGTAATTATAATGTATGTGTATGTATTTTAATACAGATTGTATAGGGCTTGCTGTGTTTTGTAGTCCTGTGAAAGATTTTTGTGTTATATGTAATTTTATATGTTTTTGATGCTTCCTAATCATAAATATATTATCTGTTGATATATGCGTGGATGCACATATATGTGTCGAGTGGTTTGTATATAGGTAGCTCACTAGGAGTGCTGCAACGATCATATTATTAGGTGATGAGAACCAGTAAGTTGTTGTATAGGCAGATCTCTTTATTTGGCTGCATTGATGGACAGTTAGTGACCTGTTTTACTGAAGTGCCGCTTGGTCACCTCCGTACCCCAGCCTCTCATTAGACAGTAAAGGAGCAGCAGCGCACTAAAGAAGCCATCTCTCTCCTCTTACCTTCTGTCAGCATGTTCTTTGACAACACTTATGCATGAAATAAAACCTGATTTGCCTAATTCCACCCTAAAGATTACAAATGCCTGATAACAAGCAAGATTCCGGAATATACACTGCAGTCATATTTCATTATTATATATATAACTATTTTAATGAATACCTGACTGCAAAAAAAGGTTTTTTTATACATTGTTAGGGGTTAGGTTTTGGGGTGAGAACCTGTGAGCATGTGAGAATACATTTACATGTAGGAATAGGTTAAGATTAGGAGGCAAGGACATTTGTGCACACTGGGTTTTTTTTTTACTCAATTTTAGTACTGAAAGCTCCACACTGAGTACCAGTGCCACAGAATTCCCTGTGCCAAAAACCAATATGCCTACATGTATACATTAACAGTATGAAGGAGTCAGAGCATGGCAACTTCAATCTGAGGCTTCTGCTACAGATTCCCTTTCACTCTTTAGGCTGAGCAGACTTTTGTTCCGTATTTCCAGAAGTGACACCCAGATATGGCGATTTACTCAAGTGACACCCACAGGTAACACGGGCCCTTCAAGAACAAATCGCAGCATACCGTGCTCGGTCTACACAGACAGAGGCCACCCTGAGACCTTAAATACATCACAGGCCATTCATTCACAGGACCCTTCGCTAATCCAAGCTGACAAGAGGCTGAATGCATTTGCTGCACTATCAGAAAGCAGTGAAGCATGCACGGACTGCCAGACTGGGCCTCTGTTTGTGTGACAATGGCTGTTCTCAGCGGGAGGGGCCTCCCTGTGACAAGAGGCACCTTTGTCCTCTCCTCTCTGCCTTTTGGAGTGCAGGAAAGTCTCATTCAGCCTGCCACAGTCACTCTTTGAAAAGGCTGAAGTGTAACATGAGACAGCCATGAAACACTAGCCAGCCTTCTGCCTAGCCCTTATTATTCTCAGGCACCGCCTGCTCCATTCAGGGGGTCTTCAGAGAATAGCTGCACACTACATGAGCCTCTGCTGTGCTCTGAATTCCACCATTGTCTGCTAATAATCACAAGAAAGGCGAAGCCAAGGGAAAAAAGAGGACATAGGCATCACTGAAGCCATCTTGAATATCCAGGGAGCCATTTTAGAGGATTTGCTAGATGTTTCTGTACAAATGTATACTTGGCCATATTAGGGCTTACAGTAAATTTAAATAAACTGCAGTACGTAGGCAGGCATCCATTACAAATCTAATTTTGTGCTCCAAGGCAGCCATTCTAGTGGAACCTTGTAGAAAGGTTATGAGCGGTGCATAAGAGATATATATATATATATATATATATATTAGACCTTGTAATTTTAGTGCAAGGTCCACTTTAAGCACCATTGTGCATGACTTGCAGGAACTCATAGTACATTGTTTTCAACAGGCAAGCCCAGGAAGGCACTTTTGGCACTTACCTCTTTATATTTTCCCATTTCGTGAAGGTGAGTGACAGGGCCCACCAGAAAAGAACGGTCAGCATCCTTCAGGTGATAAATGGAGATGAGGAGATCTAGCAGCTGCCCTTCGGTGGCCAGGTGGAAAATGCGGGTCTGCACCTTTTTTAACCTCAACCCAGACTGGAAAAGGAAAAGAGCGTATGGAACCATTAAGGGGTAACAGACAAGCATCTCAATACAGAATTGGATCGCACATACAGCAACTGTAATACAACATATACAGCGTCCTGCAGTTATTTTTAGGGTGCATATCAGCATTACTGGATGTTAATATTACTTGAGTAAAGAAAAGAGATCTCATTATTGCTATAAACTTAAAAAAATGCTGCTTCTGAGCTTATGTGACCTATAGTTAGGACAACTGTGGGGATTTTATATTATTAGAGCCTATGAGAAGTCTATTGTTTTTAGCTTGACAGATAAATTGACTTGACTTTAAATTTGCAGTAAGATTAGAGTATTAGCAAGGCACAACCCTTATGCAGTGTTAACAAATAAAAAGCAGAGCATGCATATGCAATAAAGATCAGTGCAACAAGAATTCTTATTGGCATTATGGATACTCAGCTTTGCTCCCTGCCCTATATTACTGGATAAGCTAGTAGGTCTGTAAGTCATGCGTTTTTTGTTTTACAGGTCTACATTCACTTCTCACCAGCTGACATTCAGGATGTTCCAACAACCATTTCTGAGTTTCATTAGCAATTAAATTAGCCAGAGCATTCCCTTTTCCTTTTGAGATGTTACAACTTTCCAACAAGTCCAGGAGGGCGGTGTATGGGTCAGCTACAGTATCCATGAAATCTTTCACATTCTTTCGTGCCTGTCAGAGTGGAGATAAACTGCTTAGAATCATATACACACATAATATAACAAAATAAAGTAAAGCTCAGAACAAATATACAGGCATCATCCTTTCGTTTATTTCAATCTAATTGGAGCAGTTACCTGAAGTCTGTCTTTATACAGAGTTGCCACATGTAAGCTGAAAGTTTAGATCAGCAGTTAGCAAAGTGACTCTGTAAGCTGACGGGTTAGAGAGGGAGCTTTTAAAAGAAAGCTGTCGAGGTATAAATATGTGAATTGCCATTGGTGAATTGTTTTAAAAGGTGCAGACTCTGGGACATTGTTTCATTTTTTTATTATTGGTATTTATATAGCGCCGACAATTTACGCAGTGCTTTACACAGTGCACAGTCACATCATACATACATACAAGGACCAATTTAGACTGGAGCCAATTAACCTACCTGCGGACTCTGGGATAAACATTTAGGCCTTGTTCACACCAAATGCAGAGCAGATCCGCTCAGGTTTCTGCACACGCAGTGCAGTGGGTTGTGCCGCGTTTTTGATGCGTTCCGGGCCGTTTTTGGTTTAAAAAAAATAAAAAATGTTTTGTTTAACATGGGCTTTCAGTGCGTTCCATGCATTTGCATGCGTTTTTAATGCGTTTGCAGATCCAGAGCAGGTAAAATAGGGCTTGCTGCAGTTTTTTTACCTGCTCTGGAACTGCACGCTGCAATGTGAATTGGAGCTAAAAATACCATTGGAATACATTGGACGCAGTTTTGATCCGGTCTGCAACTGCTCTGCACCTGCTCCGCGCTTGGTGTGAACAAGGCCTAAAGACCAGCTCCAGCCAAATTTTGTTGGAGCAGAAAAGGGTTAAGTACCCATTATATGAGACATGTGTTCCTACTGTCTTGTACATTGTAATCTTTTTCATAGTCACTGTCTCTTAATACGTATGTACCATGTGACGCCATGTGACGCCTAAATGTTTTTTGTTTCCTTCTTGTTAAAATTAATTAAAATTTACTGAAACGAATAAAAGGGCTAGAATAAAATCCTGCCCGTGTAACCAAAGAGATTCCCCATCTTTTTCTGTTCTGGGAACAAAAAATGGGGACACATCAACAAAATCCCAAAACGTTCCCCACTGACTACCCAAAATGACAACTCTGCCCCTCTATCTCCAAGCGCTAAGCTGGCATTGTAGCTATAAAGTAATTTCCTTTTTTGCACCATTTTCTTAAATGGCTGTGAAGTTGCAGCCTGAATGCAGAGACCCTTTAGTGGCCACTCTGATTTCCTACAGTCCCCGCAGCCACTAAATAACGTTGAGTTCTGGCCTGACCCCTGCTGTACGAACGTCACGGTTACTATGGAGTGGAACGGACCTTTGCTTTAAAATGGACCTTTACCACCTGTGACTAAAAATCACATCAGCATACCGCTCTGCATGCTGATATGAAATCATCTTACATTCATTAGCTAAACAAAATTAGTTTTATTTCACTTACAATTTCTTTTTTTACACTTCATGGTCCACTTTGGCACACATGATGTAATCGTGCCCAACCGTTGCATTCTGGGAAGATTACATCAGCAGATAATTGCTGGGAAATCTCACGTGATCTCAGGGAAAGGCATTTCCTCCCCTGAGATGATGTGCATGGTCACATGTGCCAGAGTTCCAGGAAGTAAGGGAGATCTAGTAACCTGCCCTTAGTTAAAATGGCCACTGTGAGAAGATTAGGGAAGAAAAGAAAAATAAGGTATGCAAAAAACAAAAACCTAACAATTATCTAGAAGTATGTGTTTTTAGAATTGTCATTAATAAACATTTGTAAAGGTGTCTTTGTTGTTTTTGAAGATATGGGTAAAGTTCCTCTTTAAGTGTTTGATCATACTTAATACTTAGAGATACAATGACCTACCTGTTCTGCATCCTTCAGGGCCAAGGCACTGTGTAGAGTGGATAAAATCTGAGAATAATCAGGCTCTGAAATAAAGTAGAAAATCATGTGAGAAAGGTATACAGAAAGGTAACTGGATTTATTATTTTATATGTAACAGGTAGACACCAGGGTCTAGCCATCAAACGAACATAGAGACCAGAAGGATGAGGGCGGAGACAAGTGAATGGAGAGAAGACAGTAGAGAGTGAAAGCAAGAAGACCAACAATTAAAGTGGGCCTGTCATTCACAATGTTTTCCCCTGACTTTGTTAGCATTTCTCTCTCCATAATGGTGAATTCATTGGATTCTATTAAAACCAGCCAGCAGTCTGTGTTAGGAATATCAGATTTTGAAACTGGGACTGATGAGAATGATGGTTGTCCATAGAGGTAATTTTTAGAGTTAGTAAGTGTTCAAGGGGTGGCTATGGTTTAAATTTAGGGGATTGGTTAATATTAGGGCCCAGTCACATCTTCAAGTTCTGGTGTTTTGCATTATTCTATTGAAGCAGAATGCACACAAAAAAATGTATAAGCAACATTTTTGTTGTGAAGCAGCGCAGTGTAAGGGCTTGTTCACACCAAATGCGGACCAGATCTGCATGAGTTTTTGCACACGCAGTGCAGTATGTTTTGCCGCGTTTTTGCCACGTTTCAGGCCGTTTGCATGTGTTTATGCGTTTGCATGCGTTCCAGAGTGAACTAGAGCCCAAAATACCAGTGGACTACATTGAACGCAGTTTTGATCCGTTCTGTAACTGCTCTGCTCCTGGAACGCGCTTGGTGTGAACTAGCCCTAACACTTAGCATTGAGTTACTGTGTGTTGCAGTGTGCTGCACCGTAGGGAAGTTGTGGAGGTGCATTAAGGTTCCATTCAAAATGAATAGTGCAGCAACGCATTTAACCTGCATTATCGAAATGCAATGGAGAGACTGGACCTTTGGGTTAAAGCAGGGCTTTCCAAGAAACCAGGTAGCTAATGATCTTTCAAAAATTACAGCCGGAGCCTAACTTTTAAGGATTTCTCATGCTGTTGTCAACTGAGCTGGCTTCTGAATCTATCCTGCTGGCTCCTGCATTGGACAGACTGGCTCCTGCATTTCATATTAATTTGTCCACCCCGGGTTAAAAGGTATAGGAAAGAGGATACTGGAACACCCAGAATTCCCAGGTGCACAGGGACAGATTCGGGAATTATGGTAGGGGATATTGTGCTGTGGGAATATCTAAAATTCATAGGAAGTCAAGGGCTGACTCAGCTTAGTATGAAAATGACAGCCCTGTATGAGAGACAGGTTCAGCATAGATCCTTGTTGAGGTTACAGGATGGAAAGAAACAAAATGTCAGAGAAAAGGGAGAGGGCAGTACGAGAGGTGAGAGAGCAGGAGACACAGGAAGTGGGACAGAAGAGTCACAGACAGGAGTTATGAAGAATTACAGAACAGACTTAAACCCACAGGCCACGGGGTCAGTAAACATATCTGAACTGTGACTGATCATACACATACATTAGTACTGATAAATGATCAATCTGTGGGCTCTGGGTTACACTCCAGACTCTGTCTACTGTAAACAGATGGACGCAGAAAGGATGTTCCCTGACTGACCCCATAATATCCCCTGATCTATATATAAAAAATGAACATGTGAAGAGTGTCTACATCCTGACATCTAAGTCTTTAAGAAACGTCCAGTTTATGGGGCCATTTGCAAACCAGAAAAAAAGCGAAAGGACAAGATATGTTTCTCATGTTCAGATTGTCAGAGCTACATTTAAATCATACAAAGCAATACCATACACATCTCTAGCTGGATGCAAAACATTTTATAATGTCATCTATGCCTACTGCAGTCAGGGAATTCTGCTGGGAATAAGCAAGAGTCCACTAAAATATTATTAAGTCAATTTGTGTCTCATAAAAAAAATCCTAAATCCCCCTAAGTCCTGTGGTGACAATTCTCTGATAAAAGTACTCCTGAAGATAAGTATTAGGAATTACTGTGCTGGCATAAACCCTTTTTCAGAAAACCCCCAGGAACCGAATATATAATAGGCACTTTCAGATATTAAAGACCTTGTAAAAGTCCCAGCATATACTGCCCTGTTATAACATCAGCATTGTAATAAGGAATACATACTAGACTTGTTTTGGATAATGCAAAAAAAGCTTACTTGAAAAAAATCTAGGGATGCACTGATACTGACGCTAGTATCGATATCGGTGCCGATACCGAGTATTTGGCAGAGTACTCGTACTCGCCCAAATGCTCCGATGCCTAGCCTGATACTTCCTGTATCAGGAAGCCGGACAGCGCGTCATTACACGCTGCCCAGTTTACCGATTGGCCGGGAAGCGGCTCCATGCTCTCTCCTCACTTGTGAGGAGAGAGCATGGAGCCGTCTTCCCAGCCAATCAGGAAGCCGGGTGCCATGTAATGACGCAGCGCCCGGCATTCTGATTGGCCGGAAAGCAGGCTTCATGCTCCCTTGTCATCTCATGACTAAGGATGGGCTCGGGCGTGTTCGCAGCTCCACGTGCCAAGCCCGCCAGGAAGCTGACAGCACACAGCGCCAATCACAGGCACTGAGACATTTCCCGATCTCTGCAGCTGCGGACTGGGAAAATGTCTCAGTACCTTGATTGGCGCTGCGCACTGTCAGCTTCCTGGCGGGCTCGGCACGTGGAGCTGCGAACACGCCC